TCTTCACTATCATTTTCCTGGCAATATCATACAGAAACCGGCAGGACAACCCAAGTATACACTCGGTAGAGCTGTGTATCTAACACGGCGGGAATATAGCTTTACGGCAGCTTGGAATCACATATCCGTGCAGAACATGATAAATATCTGAGTAAACTCAACCCGTATATGTCTCCTGCTAAATTCAAACGCATAACATTATGTAATGTCTACTGAAAGCCAAAATTGTGAAATCAGCAGAGAGAGCCGTTGCTAGGTAACGGCTTTTCAAACACGCCCCTTGCTCGGCAATGACTCAGTAACCGTCGCGTGGTGGCCGCAACAGACACACACGCAACAAAATAAGAGTTCTTGGAAGCGGTGCTTTTTGTTTTTAAACTCGGCGGCGGTCAAACTTACGGCCGTTCAAGTAACTAAGCTGCCGTTATAACATAAGACAACTTAGAAAGATGATTTGCTCTGCAAATCCTGGACTGACAGAGTATTTATATATTGTGCAACATCAAGGATTTTTAATAGCATGCTATAAAGATGAATACGTAAACTTGTAGAAAGAGTAATAATTCAGAATTAAGAAACTAATATAAAAAAATACTGTAAAATTTTATCTAAGGTCATTAAGGAACCTAAAAAACTAAAATATGTTAACAAAATTCAAAATTCCAAAAATAAAAATAAAACCATATGGGATATAGTAAAAAGAAACTAATAAAGGGCCAAAAAATGAAAAAATATGCACATTAAAGGTGGATTGAAAATGGATTAGAGAAAAGCAAGTAATTGCGGAAACCTTTAACAATTACTTTTTATCTGTAGCTGAAAATAAAAATGCAAACATAAACAGAATAATAATAATATTAGTTACCTTCCAGACCTTATTCCCATTCAGTATTTAATGAAAACTATTATAAATCCCTTTCCACATATTAAACTTAAATCTTTATCAACTAAGGAAGTTGAAAATATAATTAAATCTCTCAAATCAAAAAACTCTTATGGCTATGATGAAATATCCACTGAAGTATTAAGAATGAGTTCCCTTTTCATTAGCTCTCCCTTGACTCGCATATGCAACAATTCATTATCACAAGGAATTTTCCCAGATCGTTTAAAATACTCAGAAATAAGACCGCTGTTTAAAAATGGTGAAAAATCAAATATTTTCAACTATAGGCCTATATCACTTTTAACTTCGTTCTCTAAGGTATTAGAAAATGCTGTGAGCATTCCATTGATTGAGCACTTAAATAACAATAACATTTTAGTGGAAGAACAATTTGGTTTTAGAACAAAATCTTCAACAGATGAGGCTATATACAAGTTAGTGAATGAAATTTGCAAGACCTTAAACAACAAAAACTTAATAGAATGTATTTTTATGACTCAGAAAAGGCCTTCGATTGTGTTAATCATGAGGTTCTGTTGTCGAAATTGGAGTTCTGTGGGATAAAGGGTAAAGCTAAACTATGGTTTGAATCTTATTTCAGAAATAGATATCAAAGGGTTTTAATTACAAATATAAATCTTAATC